GTACATTTCTCAACCGGCATACTCTTGACAGCATCTCACACGAACTAATATTGCGTTGTACAACTCAGGGGTGCGTTGAATTCATTTATTTTCTCATAAAACCGACACATCAAGTCATTGTGTGTGTTTTTTTATATCACATCTGCGTATTTACAACAGCGAACGTCCCACGTGCCCAACCGCCACGTGCCCACCGCCACGTTGCACAGCTGCTGCAACCCCCCCCCCCCCCCAAAAGCGAATACAAAAATCACCACCACATCAACAACAACACAAACCGGGGCGGGGGGGCGGGCGGGGGGGGGGCAGTTGGTGAGGTCGATAAAACGAACACAAATCGTGCGCCAACACACACCACCGCGACGCGGCGTGCGTTTGGGAGAGTCGCGACGCCTGCTTACCGTGACGTTCCGGCTGCCGTCGACAGTGATGGATGGCGCTGTCTCCTACCCACCACCCCCCCCCCCCTCGGCGAGACGTGACGCCACACTGTTGCGGACGGCTGCTCCGCCGAGGATGCTAAAACGCAAGCGCTCTGTCAACTTTGCTACGTCGCAGCCGCAGACGAGGCGTCGCGGCTTGCTTGGCTTCGCTCCCGACGCGCAACAAATACATCGCGCGCCTCGATCTTCGCAAAAGGACCGCGGCGCCGCGTAGCCCCCGTGCCAAAAAGCACGTGCTAGACCCGCGATTGGACGTTCGATCGGGCGCGTGCGTTTATCGATAATGGAGGTGGCCAATCGGAATGAGACAAAAGCGATTTGTGCCACCGATTAAAGACGTGTTGTTTCGCCAAAATTATTTCCGAGGTTACGTCATTTAAACAAAACAAACAAGGTCTGTGTTTGTTGGTCAACCCCCGCCTTGCCCAGCAGTGTGGCACAGCGACCGTGTGTGTGTGTGGAGTCGCCGCCGCCGCCGCCGTACGTAATTGCCACCGCGAAGAGGTGCAAAATGAATTATCGCCATCTGGCCACACTCCCCAGCCTCTCGCTCTGTGCCAGGCACCCTGCGAGTGCATTTGCTTAATGAATTGCCTCTTCGTCAGCCAGATAGTCAGCAGGGGGTGGGGGGGTGGGGGGGTGGCAAAAATTATATAAAATAAACTTAATTGTAACTCTGCGGATGACACTTTCTCTTTCAGGTAAAACAACAAACAACAACAGAAGAAAAAAGAAAACTTTTCTCTCCCCACTCCCACCCCCCCCACCCCCCCCCCAAAAAAACTTTTGACTTTAACTCCGGTGCGTCGTCATTAATCACTACGATTTAGTGGTGGTGACGCGATTTCAAACTTTCTCTTTGGCGACATGGAAAAAAAGAACCCTACGGTAGCCTGCCAGGATGAGTTATGGAATGCTGGAGCCACCTGCACACCCTAATTGGGATTGGGGGGGGTGTTGGGGACGGTGGTCAGAGAACCCCTTGGGATGCCACTGAGGACGAAATAACCTTTCTGTGTGATGCAAAGTGGATGCCGTTTGACAGAATATGTCTGCGCTTTGCCACGAGGAAAAAAAAAATAAGGAAATCTAAAAGAGGATCTGGCAAACCACGCTCGCGGGCCTGGTGAAGTTTCGGACCAAACAGTCCGATGAACGACAGGGCATAAGGGAGGCCTTCATCCAGCAGTGAGTGGATTAATGAAGGGATCATGAGAAATAAAAAAGGTTTATAGTTACACATATCATTGTGGTATCTGGGTGGAGTGGTGGTGCAGTGGTTATCGCACTGTGGTATGAGCCCTGCAACCTAAGGCTGATTCCTAGCCTAACCACGGCTAACATCAGTGCTAATTGTTGCCCAGGAACCGTTCCTGGGCAACTGCTTCGTATTCGCCAACCCGCCCTCGCCAAAGTAGTCAAGTATGATCTTGATTTGAAGCTTTCGTGACTGCAGGAATCCATGCTCTTTGGTTCTTTCGGTAAAGGTAGAAGAAATATATTATATTTTTATTTTGTTTGATTTTTCTACCTACGTGACTTTGCCGAAAGAACCAAGGAGTATGGTGAAGTATGACCAAACGACTCGCATAATGGTAAAAAAACACCCATGGTATGGGCAGGTCTTCGCCAAACAGTGAATGGACGAAGGACTGTAAATATTTTTTATTGGTGTTATTAATTGTGATTGCATTAAGCATGAATGATTTATTATAATGGTATCTGTCAGTCTAAATGATCAATTTCCACGTGTCATACGTTATATATTTTTTATATCTGCTGCTTTATATGCCACGTATTGTGCTGCACAGTTGGTTCCCGATATTGACATCAATGTCAAAGTTATAAAAAGGACAGCGTCAGCAGTCTCTCACAGTCAATGCAAATGTAACAAAAGGTCTACGTGTGTGTATATATATCCACAACATTCCTACGGCAAAATCACCACGAATGTGCCCGCTATTGTTAGATCTCGGAAGCTAAGCGGTGTTTGAGCCTGGATAGTGCGTGGGCCAGCATGCACGCCACTTTGCCAATGCAAGGTTGGCTACGTACGGTGCGAAAGAGGTGCAACGGTGCTAAATGTTGGGCAGCCAGAGGACAGTGCAGCACCATCCATTGTCGTCACTGTGATTCTGTGCTTCCACGTCTGCGGTGCCCACGTTCCGCAACACATCATCATCATCGTGAAGTACGGTCCAATATTTCCCATGATCCACTCCGCCCTCATCCAGATCTTTTTTTTTAACGACTGCACTCCACTGCGGATGGAGTTAATTGAGTCACACAAAGATGGAGAAAAAAATAACCACTCCAAAATAGATACATTTACAAACACAACCGGAACAGCAATATTTTTTTTTACTAGAATTATAAGCACCTAAAATGCCTTCCAATTGAGCTTTGAATAAAACAGCAATGTGAACCGAGGAGGGAAAGTTCAGTTCGCACTTTATTTGTCACTTTGGGAGTTTGAAGGAAGGCTCACTAATGTCTTGTTTTCATAGTCTCCCGGGCATGGTGGGTTAAGGCTGCTGCATAATTAATCAACCGCGCCGTGTTCAAGACCATCCATTCCCCCCTACCACCCCCACCCTCACCGAGCTTCTTTGTCACCTCACAGGTAGGGGAACAAACAAGGCAACGGAAAGTAATTTGTAACTGTCAGGCGCACAGGCAGGGGGCTCCGAAAGGATATGTTTATGCTGGGAGCCTTTGAAACCACCAATCAGCCTTCAGGACACCTCCACGATGTTTTTTTCAGGTCAAGCCGAACAGAACCTGGACCTGGGGGGGGGGGGCGGCGGGTGGAGCAAAATGTGTTGTATACCTCCCAAAATGTTCCTTGCCGAATTAAATTATAAAAAAGTTAATGTATATTGTTGTAATTGCCCTTTGTCAATCCACTGCTGGATGTAGGCTTCTCCATGCCATTGCAGTCACGGGGCCGGTCAATGCAAGTTGGTGAAGCGGGGAGAGGTGGACACAAAACCGACTCTGACGCAAGTGGTCACTGACGTCCGCCCTAGCGAGGAACATAACTCGGTTCGCCAGGTTCATAGTGAAGTTCGCTAACCACTGCATCCAAATGCTACAACCGTTATTAAATTACAATGTTTCTTTTTATACGTATATACATGTGAACCTACGAATATGACGTTACTGCCACAGAAATACTGAATATTTACCGCTGGGCTAAAGGTCACAAAGAGAAAACCGCAGAAAACAACACCACCCCATGGGACCCAAACGTTAAAGTTGGACCCACATCTTAAACATAGGGTCCTTGCCTATACCGTCCGGCAGTTCACCAGCATTTATTAACGCAATCCTGACTCTCTTGATGAGATGCTGTATGTTGAAACCAGTTCAGAGGTTGCTTGTTTTGAACCATTACTGCTGAAATTATGCACTCCCTGGAGGCCATGTGGTTGACGGAAAGGATACACAAATACTTTCAATTTTTATGTGGAGGGACACGTGATCATCATCATGATCCATTGGCAAATATCCCTTAGGTGTCCACCTACACATTTTGTTATTTGTTTCCACTTTCCTCTGTCTTGTACTAATATGCTCAAGTAGTGCCATATCTTTCTGGCACCAGCCTCTTATGTCGCTTGTTAATTGTGTCACCACCCCATCGGTTATTTCTACTTAGAATATGTACAATTGTTATAGGAAAAGAGCACTGGTCCTGTAAAAATGTATGCTTCAAGAAATTGACTGTCAAAACGAGTATAACACCTCTTCCTGCAGCAGCTCATGTGATGCGTGTTCTGTGCGATGTTGTGCAAATGACGAATTGGCATGTTCTGTGTACGTGACAACCCTTACTAGTTGGCTGTGTCGGGTGGTGGCGGGTTTTAACGACACATTTATATGTTTACGTGATCTAACCCAAAAAAACCTCTGTTATGAATGACGATTCTGTGGAGTTGCAGATAAAATCCTCCCACAGTTGTTGCTGGACACTGGCAGAAAAATACCCCAGGAAAAAATGGCAGTGTGTGTGAACGTGTTGCTGTGTTTGCTTTGCCAAAAAAAACTAAACGCTTGAAAGTCATCAACATTCTTTAGCTTCAAGGTGAAAAGGAAAGTTACGCTAAGAAACACAGCTTCGCTGTCTGCCAAGTGTGCAGTGGCTCCCTCTGCTGGTCATTTATATCATTTACGAATGATGGGACCTCGTGATAAATAAAAGCGTGTAAATATAAAAATCATTTGCCAATCCACTGGTGAATGAAGGGCGTTCCCACACCGTGTCAGTCGTTGAGGTTGTTTGACCATACTTCACCACAGCTGGGCAGTGCGGCTTTGTTTGGGGGCAGGGGGACAGGAGTGGCTCAGATCGCACTCGAAACAAATTCAAGAGAGCCGGTTCGTAGCGTTGCGCGTGATTCACCACGCCATCGCCCCCCCCCCCCAACAACATTAAAAAATATATTCTTGAACAAATTCCTAATAATTATACAAGAATGTAAACAAGTGGAATCCAATGTTTCATTTGCAACTGTGTTTTATTTTCAGCCTTGAAAGAAAATGAAAACCAACACACTTTTTTAAGGTATAAATGGTAAAGTAAAAATTATATTGGCACGAAACGTCCTCACCCACGTATGTCCTAATGTGACCCCCCCTCAACACCTGCATTAACCGTTTCTAATGCGCAGAGAATTGTCATTATTCTACAACGACTTTTCAGATAAAACCCTGTAACTAAATTAACATTCTAAAAGTAGTCTGCGTAAATGCATTGCAGATCTTGACTTAAAGCTTTCGTGACTGCAGGAATTCATACTCTTTGGGCCTTTCGGTAAAATCACGTAGATAGGTCATCAGGATGACGACCGCTTGTGTGACGATCGAAACGTCGTAGTTATTTTTGTTAACCTATCTACGTGACTTTAACCGAAAGACCCAAATAATATGCATTGAAGATGCCTAAAAACAGCGGCAAAAAATACACCTCGTTCCACTAAACCCAAAACACGCTGCGCCTATAGATAAAATTTGCAAGCTACACCGAGGCAACAAAGTCTTTTGCTTGAACTGCGATTAGGCCACTAAAACTACACTCTAAGATATCATTAAATTCCAACACTACAATGAAGCAGATTGTAAATGAGAAAGCCGAAACCTAATGTAATGTTCATTCTGTCATTTCGTTGGGGTTTCCGCCCATTCAAATGGGAATTCAAACAGCAATGCGAGCTGATTTTACACAAATGGCGAGGAGGAATCATTTACGGTGTCCAATAAAATGATTACACGTCATCCTGACCACACAGGTTACACAGGGCAACCTCGTAGTCCCCGTTGGTGTCACTCTGCAACGAAAAAAAACCCACAATTAATACACCACAAAAAAAAAACAAATTTTATGCTTTTAAAATGCTATCTTACATGAATCCACCACAGTAAATACAGCCATAGGCCATACACTGCAATCACTGATGCAAAACAATACAGTCTGGCCACAAAAAGGTCACGACTGACAACTCAAAATGGAAATCAATACTGACACATTACTAAAATGAGCTTTTAATTAAAATAAAGTATGCGCGGCTGGGCATTCCGACAGGCACGCGAGGCGCAGACAGCTCACCGCAATGGCGGAGTAGAGAGACTTCTTGTATTTCTTCTTGAACTCGGTGCGAATGTGCAGCAGGTCAAGCTCACAGCGAGACACCATAATGTGAATCAGCATGTGGTCCTTGGTCCCCAGACCCTGATGAGTAAGAGGGCAAAAGCATATAAACTCTGCGAAGGTGAACGCGCACGCAAGCACGCTCACTTGGACGAGCTACACCAGGCTCGCTATGAGAGCAAGTCTTTGTGCGTTGAGAGTGCACGTTGCTGTGGATAGAACAATTTCTTTTTTTTTTGTGTTGCAGGTCATGTGTTAAATGTGGAATAGATTCGAGAGAGTACGCTTGGTACCATTTTATGTACACAATGTTATGGGTTTTATTTATTTATTTTGTGCGCATGTTAATGTGTGTATGCATAAAATATAAATAATGGCCTTTTAGAAAATATTGATGAGAATGCTAGAATCAACAATAAATACTATTTTTTCTCATCGTTTAAGGATAACGTTTCTTATCTTGTGTCCATCGCTTAAAAATGGCAGATGAGATCAATATTCACTTCATAATTTAGTTTAAACTAATTACAATAATCTAATATTCTACAAGCATATTAGGAGCTGTCAACATATCACGAATAACGATGGAATGCAACGAATTTAAAATTACGAGTGGCATTGAACAATTCAACAATGAGTGGCCAACTTACCTTGATATTTCAACACCATACTATGCATTTGTTACACGGTGGATGTCAACATGTAAACACGAATGCCAGTAAACACAACTTATTGGAAATGTGTACACGTGAATAATCTGTATATTTCATACAAGTGCAGTGTTTTACCTTCATGGAATCATGCAGTTTTTCAGCAAAGAACCCAGGCGTGTAATTGATGGCTTTGGCTATAAAACAGAAAGGAAAATATCACATGTTTTCTTGACATGCATGGCATGGTTAATACTAAAGGGGCAACGTTGCAATTTCCTGCTAACGCCACTGCTGGCGGAAGAGCCTCCACTAGATGTACCTCTAGGAGGCACTCCTCTCGATACTACAATCTCTAGAGTCCAGGGTGTGTATTTGGCCTTCTCATCCACACTGGGCAGATGTTTCGGAGCGTTTGGAGCACCCACACTTTACCCCACCAAACACGACTTCCTTATCGACTAACTGTGGTGTTCCCATTAACAGTGCTGGGTGGACAGAGGTGTGGGTACTCAAGGAACTCGCCCCTCGTTTTAACCGCTGCGCCAGGAGATGCAATGAGCGACCTCTTGGATTGAAAGTCCTGTTTGATAAATAATTTACCACGGCAGCATCCCATTCATTCTACCTACGGAACTTTTCAGAACATCGCAGCAGAGCAAATAAACACCGCTCTGGCTCTATTGGTTCCAACATCTTCATTTACAGACGTTACAGAGAGAGAGAGAGATCCTTACCAAGGGACACAAAGGCGTTGCGCAGGTCACCTCCCACCTCCTTTTCGAAGCTGTCCACAATGCCGGCAGGGTAGTATGACTTGTAAGCCTCAAACACTGAAACGAGGTGGGAAAACATGACAATGGCAACATGCTACGTTTGCAACTTCAAATCCCCTGGTTGCTTTCGCGTGTGCTGCATTCTAAAAATATTAATGAATTATCACATTTTACGAACGGACATTTTATTTTATCTTTATTCTTTATATACTTTACTTTTCCCTTGAAAGCCACAACTGAGTCTCGAGATTTCCTGAGCAGGAGGGGTCATACTTTGAGATGCTTAGCCAATTAGTTGATCAACATTCTTGAGCCCAAAATACCATCATTAACTTGTGCAAATAAAATTGATTATTTATGAAATTATATGCCTATTTGTATTGTTAACGTGCCTATAGGTTGATAGGATGAATGAGCCAGAATAACTGAAAATATAAGAGGCAGGTGAGTGACAGTAAAAAGGAAACTAAAAGAATCACATTAAATCACGGGGGGCCATGTGGCGATGTGGTGCGGAGGGGGGGCAAATTGTTACACGCGTAGGTGACAACACTTGAAAATCAATACCGATAGATTGACATCCCACTTGCCCTTCTATCATCGAGTGGTCACCTAGCAACTGTGTGTGTTGGATGTCATACAAGGACAAAGATCCCCCAGATAGCCTCTAACAGACTGTTGGGGCAAGTGCTGTTAGCGAGCACCTATGAAGGCCAGCACGGCACACGAGCGGGTGGGGGGCCAGCACCACGCCCGACCACCTTTGTCTCCCTCGTGGCAATGTTTACACACCGCACCAGGTACTCATTTGAGGCCAAGTCGACCTAGGGGAGGCCCACTACTGGTTCAGATAATTGTCACTGGTGTTGGCCGTGAGTGGGAATCGAACTCGGGGCGCCGGGTTCATAGTGCAGCGCGCTAACTGCTACACAACCGCATACACCTGCACAAACGATGATTTCAGCGTGATCCACCAACCCCAGCCTACCCTGTGCTGACTAGGTCTCAATACACAAGCCCGCTACTGACGAAGCCCTAAGCATTCATTTAATTAACATTGTGTCCAATGAAAGCACCTTTCTTCAGATGAGAGAAGCTCCGTTGGGACATGATGGTGATGAATTTTCCCACATCCGTTCCCTTTCTTTTAACGCCCGCTTCAAACAGCTCCTGCACACACATTCAGATGTCAACATGTAAACAGCGTGCGCGTGCGTGCGTCTCCGTCGTCTTGATTAAATACTCGCGCGTCCCTTGCATCAATTCTCTCGTTTACCGCTCTGTGTAATTTTCAAAAGTACTAGGATGAGATCCGAAGATCAAGCAGACCCGGAGATGTTAGCGCCCACTGTCTCGCCGTGTATACGGAAACGTTTTTAATTTGTCCACGCACGAGAAAAAACACATTAGAGTGCTGCATAACGAGAAGACTGCAATGGGGAAATACACAACGCTGCTTCAACAGGCATTGACACTTTACCCTGGCATCCTCGTCAACCAAGTCATGGTCCTTTGTTGAGTCTTCAATCCTGGCACCCTGCAGCAGAGGTAATGGAGAACCAATTCCACATTTAGTCATGCTTTTACATTGCAAATCAGCATCTTTGGTTTGATTTCGTTGAATTACACACTTCTAGAGTGAAAGTAGAATGTGTAACACGGTACAATAAAGCATTGAGGACATTCAACTCTTCCATTGATTGATTAACAAGCTAACTCACTTTCGCCAGGGCCAGTACAAGTTTTTGGAAATCCCCGGAAGTGTCCTTAGCGATGTCTTGCATCATGTCCGATTTAAACTCTGCAGGAAACATAAAACAGACCGTGAAATAACCCTAAAAAAGTACTTGCAAAACATATCTGCTTATTTGCTTTCCAATGCACACATTTGAATTTGTGACGAATGCCTGGCACAGGCTGCAGTCATCTTGCTGGTGGAAAACGATGCACATCCACATCATAGTAAACACAGGCAACATTATTCCCCCTCTCCACCCTCGACCCATGTTTGTTTATTGCCCTGGTGCACTGTGGTCCTCATAAATGGTTTGTTGTGCGTGGGAGCACCCCCTCTGACTATATCACTTAATGCCCTTGATTAATTTGCCCACTTACCTCAGCACACATTATCCCAACTCCAGCGAGGAGCATTACGGCATGTTTACCACTGACTTTGAGCAGCAGCAGCAGCAGCAAACGCAGATGCACTGGGCTGGTTCTGTTCCCAAATATAACGTCAGGGGAGCTTTATGTTGAGACGAAGAGTCTTAGATTATTTTTTTTTGGAAGATAGCGTACCATCTCCTCACCGTCGTGCTGTACTGACCTCTCAAACAAATGCCCGATTTTAATTGGTGAAGCAACAAAAACTGTTTGGAGAAACCTTCAGGAGGCCACTGAATGAATACAATTGTTTACAAACAGTCGAACGATGCGCAATATTAATTGTTAATCTCAAGATACAATCGATGAAATCGCGCTTGTTAAGAATCAACGTGTTTCGACGAGTACATGTTGGATGTAACGGATGCACGTGAAGCCTGCAGCCACTAGAGGCGTGACTTTCACCACATCGTCATGGATTTGATCCTCGAATTGAATCGATCGAGATCCTGAATCATGACAATTCATCAAAACACCCGAGGGGGTGGGAGTTGGGAGTTAAGGGGGTGAATTCCATACCATTTTTATTGTGTATGTTGCTGCACAGAGGGCAAGGCAATTCATTGTTATTCTGTGATTATATGCCTCCACAGCATAGTTCCCCATCTTCCCTAGCATGCACTGACCGGTGTGGTGGAGTATAGTCAAATAACACCCTGCAAATCTTCATCGCAGGGGGAGGAGGGGGGAGACCCAAATCCAGAAGTGGGCTTACAAAAAGGGCTGTGCATGTGAATAAATATTGCTCGGCCTTGTTCAGAAAACCCACAGTCTACCTGTGTACCGGTCGCCCTCATGGGAGTGCATAGCGGAAACTATGGATTGCTGATGAGCCACCACGAGAGCGAAAAATGCACCTGGGTCTCCCATGCTCCAGACTGGCTATTACCTTTTCAGAAACACTACCAAGTAACATGTACGATTTTCTCTTGAATATACTGTACGTGTTATAAATCTCACCGAAGCAGCAACATAATGTATTGCTAAACACACAATGTATTGCTAAACACAGCACAGTATTCATATGCATCGGTCTAATCAACCAAAAAAATGAAGTAGTTTTATGTCCATGTCCTTTATAAGTTTCTATGAAGTTCTAAATAAATATATTATTATACATTTTTATATATATAATCGGCTAAGCTTCAATGTTTAATTCGCCTCTGACAATGTCCAAGGTACTGCGGGATGAGCGACGTCCGTACATATTTAATAGGTTCCGCACCGCTCACTTCACTCACCGGACTTGTAGGCAACCGCCATGCTTCTCAGCCGGAGGTTATCGCGGGTGACGAGCATCTCGATCAGACATTCTTCGTCCGTTCCCAGCCCCTGCAACGTTCAACAATATCAAGCCATCACTCACTCTTTTGGCGTATGACCAACGTTCCTAATGACGATAAGGATTTCAAATCGCGGTAATGTGATTTATGATTGTGTTTTTTTTAAATACTCTTCACTTTCTGGAAATTACACAAAGACAAAGAGCCTCGCACGGCGTGCACAGACTATTGGGGCAAGTGCTGTTAGCAAGCACCTGTTTTGGCCACCCCTTTGCAAGAGGGCAACTTGTGTGGCCAGGACTGCACAGCGGCAGTACCACAAACACAACAATAAAAGGTATTTTAATAAATGCTTATGTAAAAAAAACTACGGTATAGCAATCATTAAAAATCATTGTCTTCCAGAGTTGCGCTTGATTTCATATATGAGGCCGTAGGTTATTGTTATTTATACGTTTACAGAACAATTATTTCTAAACACAAGCAATTTTTGGTCTCTATATGCCAGTGTCTGGCTCTGTTGTTTTGAGCAATTTTTTTGTATAAATAACTAGGTGCCAAGACACAATGCAATATTTACATCTTCATATAGCATCTAAGATGTTTCAAATGGCCGATATTAGTATAACAGCATCCTTTCATTTTATATATTCAACAAGACTCGTTATTAGGGCTACGCGAAGTGATAGTAAATTGAGGGTCTACTTGAAATGCAAATTATTCAAACATTAGTTTAAGGCTCATTCACAAGTGCAATGGGTAATGAGAACCACATCTTTTCAGCTTTTGACACATGGCGTAACGAGTTTGAACGAACTGAGTGGCCTTTTTAAAATAAATTTGTATTCACCCGCACTCGGATGACATTATTAGTTCATTTTGAAGTGTTGGTGATCGCTCTGCAGAACAAGTGGGGCCGATATGTATGTATGTTGAACTTCTTTCGCACCGTACATAGCCATCCGTGCTAATCGAAGGTGTGGGGGAAGGACAACACACTAAACACAAAAAGCAGTTCTAAAGAATGAGTTTTCAATCCAGATTTAAAATTGTATAGCTGTAGTGGCTTCCTAATATCAGAAGAGTGTTCCAGATGGCCGCATAATTGCATCTGAAAATGCGCGATGCAGTGACCGTCTTTGTTCGATGGTTAGCCAAAAGCCACTGCGAGGATGACCGGGGTTTGCGTGATGGTTTAACCTCCTTGACAAGATCAGCAAGGTGTTGTGGTTCATTTGTGGCAAGCGGTTTGTGTGTAATGAGTGCGACCTTAAAGATGAATTCGTTCGGCAACCAGAAGCCATTGCAGCATGTGTGCATGTGCAGTGAGTGGGGCCCTCGGTCTCCACCTGCAGGGTCTGCCGGATGATGTGTGCATCATAGATGGCTGGAGTCATGAGCAGTCCAAGGATGACTGTCTCCAGGTGTCCGGAGAGGGCACCCTTCAGGTCTGTCGCAAGGTCCTGCAGGAAAACAATGGAATGAAGTGGCAGTCGGGGGCCCCGCTCTATGTCAGCGTGAAAGGTGAATGTAAAAGTGAAAGGTCTGCAATCCTATGTAGACGTGAAGACTGCACACTTAGGGTTAGCTGTTATATAAGTTAATGGTCATGTCTGTGCGCTGCCATTTGCTTAAATGAATGTCTCGCAAAGTTAGTGGAATGGGTTTATACGGTGGGTAAAGGTAAAAGTGCAGCCCTGCAATTGCTTGCTCGCGCCATTGTAGGCAGAAGGACGTCCGCTAAAGTACTCAACATGGTATGTGGCCTACTCTTCGACACTGGCGAGGCGTCTTGGAAGAGGTGGGAGTAACCACACTTCACCGCACGCGACCTGCTGATCGACCAACCGGTGTGCACCCATTTATACTGCTGGCTTGACAGAGATGAGGTGGTGGGGGGGGGGGTTTAAGAAACTTGCACCATTGTTTCGAGTGCCGTGCCAGGAGGTCAAATCAAACTGGTGACCTCTGGATTGCAGGTAAAAATCTGCTAACCATTACACCATGGTCGCTACTTCAACAAACTAAAGTGTGGTTGCATGTTCTTCTCATTTATAATATGACAAAATTGTCATGCAAAAAAAATGTCAAGTACAATGGACATAATTCGATTAATTTTCAAAAGAGGAATATTACAGATTTTCAACATACAATCTCCAAATTGGCAAAAGCAATATTGGTGATTTACTATTGTGTTGCCAAACATTGGAAGAAAAAATGTTCTGCAATCAAATAAATGAGATCCCCTCTGGTGTCTTACCACTCGTTCACTGCCATTGTCCTTATAATTAAATGTTATGTTGTCGATTTGTTGTTCATTATTACGACGATTGATAACAAAAAGTCCCACCTTTAAAAATGCCGACGACGTACTGTATACGCAGTAGTATGGCAAGAATATATTACAATGCAAATGCAGATGTAAACCCTCAAATGTTATATTCCCAAGCCTTGTCTTTACTATAACGGTAAACCCCAGGGCTTAATTTCTTATGGAATATTTTCTGGGGGCCACTCAACCCACAACTCCTGGGACCCCACTCACCACCCCCCCCCCCCTCACATAAGGGGATAGGGGATTTTTTTTTTCAGAGCTCAGCCCCAGACAACTCTGTCTGAAATTAAGCACTGCTAAACCTTTTCAGCACCTTGGAGGTGGCGTTCTTGTAAGACTTGATGATTTCTTGGCGCTGGGTATTTGTGCGGTTGGTCAGGATGCTGATAATGGTCTTTTCATCCACACCTGCAACACCATAACATCACTTTACATCACCACAGCCAATCGGAATAATAAATTACGTACAAATGTGTTGTTTTAATTCCAGTCACAGTTATGTAGGATTCATTTTAATAATGACAATGTTTTATATGCAAGAGCATCGGTGAATGTAATGCAACGTATTATTGACGGCAACGGAGCGAAAATGGGCTTGGGCAGGAGATTGGTGCGATAGAACCGCAGCCAAGGGAGAGGTATATGCCCCGAGGGGATGACCATTGTGGGGATGAACCAATGACATCAAGCCCATGTGCAGGAGTGAGATGGTTTGTGGTCTCACAGGATAATGAGGGACGGGTGGCGATGGTATGGGGAGACCTTTAACTTGGCGCCCAGTAAATGCGCAGCGTTCACGTGTAGGGTTGGAACCGTTGGGCTTAACGTTGACCCCCGGCGTTCCACGTTTACTGGGTGATATATGTATTTATTAAAGGGGCACCACGGTGGCGAGATGTTATCTTCCTCGCCTGGTATGCAGGAGGTCGGGGGGGTCAATCCCGACCCTGACGCCAGTATATTTAAAGCTTACGTCTCTCTCTCTCCCCGTGGTCGCGTGATTTTTTTCTCTGAGTCCTCCAGTCCCCCCCCCCCCCCCACATTTAAAATCAACATGCATTGAGATTATTTACAGTATTAAGGTACTATAAATGTCCAAGTGTTGGGCGACTTTGTTGAGCCATCATTTGTGGCCAGGTTGCTTCTGAAAAATAAATGTATACCTCAGTGGGCTTTGCCTGGTAGGATGTGGATGGTTTCGTGTTGTATTTGTTTGTGTGGGTGATTTGTTGACCTTTCTTGTACTTTGCACTACTATCGTGTTTTTGTACTGTTTGTTGTTGTAACGTCCTTACCCTCCCTGACTGGACATCTGTAAAAAAAAATATTTATAGCTCATCGGATTTCTCCAGTATAAGTAAATATTCTGATTCTGATATAGATCATCACTGATGATGATGATAATGACACAGACCAGTGGTTTTCAATCTTTTTGGGCGACTTGGCACCGTTGAATTTTGTTTCAACCGAGTACCCACTTGCCTGACAACAACATGGTTCTGAGAAATAAATGTATGAAAAGTTAACATCAATATTTCGAATTTTGATTTAAAGCTGTCGTGACTGCAGGGATTCATATTCTTGGTTCTTTCGGTAAAGTCACGTAGAAGGGAAACAATAAAATAATAAAAATATAAAACAATAAAATTCTCACGACGTTTCGACTGCAACACAAGCAATCATCGTGAGAATTTTATTGTTTTATATTTTTATTATTTTATTGTTTCCCTTCTACGTGACTTTTTCCGAAAGAACCAAGAATATAAATATTTTAACCAATTGTCCATTTTGTGAGGTATCCTAACTCGCTAGTAATTGTAAGCGAATACAAAAAAATCAACGGGCGCTCTTGCATGCGTGACGTCATTTGTTCGCACTCGTTTGGTTACTCTTGGAAACCCAACATTGTTGACGATCAGTGAGTTTAGAAAAGGTCCTTGACATCATTCCAGGTTACCGTGTGGCTTTGAATGTTATCGTAGTCATTTTATGTTGGCAGATTCATACGTGATTATTCACCAGACGACTCTCGCGTTTTATATCATTTCATACATATATTTAAAAAAAAATCACTTCACAATGCCACGTACCCCCCCCCCCCCCCCCCAGGGGTCTTGCGTACCCGCGGTTGAGAGCACCCCTGACATAGACAACACGTGGAGCCTCTACAGATCTAAAGAGAGGAGTCACCTTTGGTGGTGATGGCTTTTTGCAGAGCAGCTGCATCATTGTTGGCATTGAAGTTGGGGTAGGGCTTCACCGTTGGCCCATATACATAGGGCAGGTAACAGGATCCAGAGCACTGCTGCATTGGGGACACAATCAGCGTTAAAACACCCAAAGATTGGAGTACATATACACAAACATCCCATTGGAGTGAAGCGAATACAGTGCCGCCATATACATCGTAATATAAATAGCATACTGTAATATAGTGATGTACTTTGTTTATATAAATTGTGGATTGTGGCATCACAGGATTGTGAGGAATGGCAACAGCGTTGGCAGGCCATCATCCAGTAGTGGATACACATAATGGCAGATGATGATAAATGAGTTATTAGGCTGTATACTAGACAGTGCCGGATTAAGCTAGTGCAGGGCCTGTAGCATATGTTATGAAGGAGCCCTAAATAAATAAAAAAACATAAATATTAAAACACAATTTTTTTACTTGCATAGAAAAGTAATTGTATTTTTTAATTTGCTATACAGCCAGATAACACGCCAAATCGCTAACCTTAAACACCCAGTCGTTCATAAACATTGAAGGCAGTATAGTACTATGGTAATAGAGCAAGTGCAGAATCACTGAACCGGAATTGATTAGCGCGGGGCACTTGAAAGCGCGGGGCCCGTAGCATGTGTAGCTACTTACGCTACTGGGATAATCAAGCACTGATACTAGATTGGATTACATTCGTACTGTTGCTACCATCGGTAATGAAATCTAAATCTTTAGCAAACGAGTAATTAGTAAGTACAATTTTCACGTTACCTTTAAAGGTGTTGAATACGACTTAAAACTTTCGTGACTGCAGGAATTCATATTCTTTGGTTCTTTCGGTAAAGTCACGTAGATAGAAAGTTATTATTTTTTATATTTATTCACTTGATTTTTATTAATATTTTTTTCTATCTATGTAACTTTACCCAAAGAACCAAATAATGTGTTGAATACGTCATAAAATACTGTGTGAGCAGGAATGAAGTTTAGTATTGCATGTGGGTGTATTTGTTTTTGTTGTTGTGTGTTCTTCCAGTAAACATGCAACGCTGTTGGATTAACGTTGGTCCAAGGTTTGCATGATTACTGGGTTTATACATCCAGACACGAGAGGGCACTAGAGCACCTAGTTTCAGTCTGCATAATGCAGCTTCGGGCACTTTGCCAGTCTAGTAATTGACGTGAATTTGGCTTTGCAAAGGAGGGGAACATTGTGACGAATGCAGTGCCTCTAGTGGCTGCAGGGATCACGTGGACCAATTGCACATTTAAGTTTTTCCAATGGGAATACTATTTGTGCACAATCACTGAACAACGTATATATTGGAAATAGTTTTGGTTTGGTAATGCTTACTGGTGCATGACTGCCTGATTTCAAAGTGAGCTCTGGTTCACACTTCTGCAAGCTATGTATGTATATACCAAGGTGCATATACTAAACACTTACGGAATTCATAATTTGGCCCAATACATTTGAGCTGCTCGTAAGTAAAAAAAAAATTTAATCAGACCATTGTCATTCCATTGCCATGTGACAGCCTCTCCTTGCCATGTCAGTTACGGGGCGTGTTTGTTGTGTGACCGAATTTCATGCTGCCTCGTGCAGGTTGGGAAATTTCGCGGCCACTAGTGGCTGCAGGGTTCACGCACGTGAAATCGGTTTTCACATACGCGAGTAGATGCATTCATTAATAGCTAGCTTAAGAATCAGTATTAATCTATTATAATTTTTAAGCTTATCGCAGTAATTTTGGGTGGGTCTTGATGTACCCAATAATCCGTCAATATCGTTTGAACCATATGCACGGTGTCGCCTTACTCTTCAACTTTGGGAGCCAATATAAACCAGTTCTATAGAAAGGAGAGGTTAAAGGCGACAGCTTTAAAACTGTTTATAGTTTTAGTAGCTCAAAAAAACCCCTCCAGGCTCAACTCATTTGTTGCTCAGGGAGGAGCAGGTGCCGCATTTATGACTGCCCATCTCGACCCCAATACCTTGCTCCCTCAACCGCACCCACACAAATGTAGTGCTCCTCACCCTCCACTGCCACCGCTAAAACCTCCACTCACACCCCACCCTCTCCGACTCCTACCGCACCAACCCCTCTCCGCAGTCCTCCACACCATCCTCTCTACTTCCATCGTACCACGCACACCGACTGCCACCACCAACTCACACCATCCAATTATGTACATGTCTCCATTCCATTGACTCATTGTGAAACTTGCCTGCTGACTCATCTTGACTGTTGAGTAATCTGAGAGGGAGGAGAAAACGGCGTTGAGATCATGTTACATAAATTACACAAACAAATAATGTTTTACCTGTCCATTATTTCAATGATTGCTCTTTTATTGTCTGGTGTTCGAACAATTTTTAACAAGGTTCTTTTTTTTTTCAATTACCAACCATTAATAGTTTAAGGTGGGACTGGATACTTATACCGGTTGCAACTGTTTTTAAATGTTTAATGTAGCTCATTACGGATGCCCACAGGGTTGGGCTGTGGTGAATGCATGAACAACGCATTCCTTAAATTAATGACGAGTAGCTGCCACTTGAGCTCCCATTACTTTCAAAACAAAAATGAAATCACTTTCACCACAATGTCTCGTAATCCATTCACACCCACCCACAGGTTAACAGACTCATTACTCAGAGCAACAACAAAAAAACAAATGTATACAAGATGGGGAGCTATCTGAAAACTATGCCATGGCACCTGAAGTTCAACTGAGCATAAGGCTTAAATATTATTTAGCAGATTTTCATTTTTTTTACAAATTAAATTAAACCTGTATTATTATTTATTTTACCATGCCTTTTACTCAGGAAAGCCTCACTAAGTCTTAAGATATTTATTCAGGAGGTTCCTGCATTGCAATATTTGGCTGATTTTTTTTATTTATTAAAGAGTGTGTGGCACATTGCAGTAGATGGGAACACCCATAGAAATCCGATTCACGTGAACGAATATGACTCAAAGTTCTGCACAGATAGATTCAATCATCCATAGCTGTACTCGCATATTCCACCTACTTTCTGACTATTTTCACAGTCTCTTCCCTGATATCTCCCCGCGCATTGTATTCACATGTAATCGTTCATGATTCCAACAGTCGAAAGAGCTGCAGCCCAATCATTGAGAAGATCAACAGCCCCGATGTTATACTCTTAGTTTTTTCGGTAAAGTCACGTTGAAGAGAAACAACAAAATAACAAAATATATATAAAACATTCTCACGACGTTTCGACCATAACTCAAACGGTCATCATCAGGTGTGTTGGTTTGCATAAATTTATTTTAAAAACGGCAAGAGTCTCTATTCATTCGGGTGGGGCCCAATGGGTGCGGCGCAGCCTCGTCAGGTGATTGGCTGTCACCGTGTTGTGTTAGCCGATGCCTTATCATTACTGGTTTGGTGAAAACTAACCAGAGCCCTTTGCGTGGGTTGGAGATGAATCACATTTTGCTCAGCAGTTGAGATTTAAGAAGCCCCACCTTTACCAATGCACTGTAGTGCGAACGAATGGATCATTCCAACAAGACTGGTCTGCACCAGTGTTTTTTTTAATTTCTCCGCACACAGACCCTCCTATCAATCAAACATTCACAAATACGTATGTGGATTTGAATGCATCTAAGTGCATGGCGTGCCTTTGTACTGGTACTGTGAGATGTCTGGAAATGTTATATCACTTTCAGATTTGCAGGGCTTGTGGAGTGATACCAATAGTTTCTTACAATTTCATTGTTGGTCTTTTGAACATTCTTAACAATCACTAATGTGCTAATGCAGTTTTTTTTAATACAAACTCAAGAGGCAACATTTCATCTTAATGTTCCATATGCCAAATCACGTTTCGACATTAAAAGAATCTGATTGGCATATGGAGAAACGCATTAATTATCATGTCAGCATGTGCATTCTAACTCCAGCTTACATCACTTGTGACAATTTGTAAAAGTTACCACAGCAAAAATGTAATGCATTTATACACTCATCGAATTAGTTGCTAAACTTTAACACATTTTGAATAAGCATGCATCTCACAATTTTCTAATGTGTGTGAGGGGTGAAACTGTATGAAGTAAAACAAAAATGTAACATCTAGATGAAACGATACACATTTACAAATAGTAATGTTTCTGCATAAGGACACATTCAGAGTTTTAAAAATATATCCTGTTATTTAAAAAAATATACTTATATTTTTTTAATTTTAGGGTAAAAAAATTAAGCATGTCGTATCTTCCTGTACACAGTTTATTTTTGTTAAACATTGCATTTTTACAGCTTTATGTAAAATGTCTACTTCACTTAACAATGAAGCACATAAACACTGGTTGAGGCGTTGCTTTAAGGTATACGCAAATATCTTGAAGAATTTAGCAAAACATCTGCCATGGAAATGTGTTTATGTGTAACAGAGATCCGGGCGCCAATTTGTTGCACCCACAAAAGTCCAAAGCTTTGTACTTACTCACCGAGGTTAGCTCAGCCGAAGAGTGGACGGACAAGTTGAGGGTTCGTTCGACTGACAGATGCAGCCACGTAAGCCCTGTTTTTATTTGGTATCAGGTCATGTGGAGCCTGCGGCATGCCTGAACATCAGCTGATCAGGGGGCTGCCATGGTGACAGCCAATGGAAAGCTGCAAGGTGTCCACATTTGACTCACCTGTCAACTTTCTTTTCTCGACTGCTATGTTGCAATTTTTTTCTAGGTGTGGCCTTGCAGACAAGATTTTTTTTTTTAAACAAAATGGTCTCACGTCATCATAAATATACCTTTCCTGGGGAGAAAAAAAGAACAGAAAAAACCACACACATTTATTACAACTATAATACAGGGTTTTTTTATTAGATCGCGTAAATATAATAGATATTGGTCGCGAAAGTCTCAAGTGTTAAACTGATTATCACAACTATGTCATACTAATTTTATGTAACTGTAATATATTTAAAATGTGCATGCTGCAATGTTAAATTACATGGTTCTATGCAATGGTATTTAGCTTAACCCAACATTTTCTATATGTATTAAATACATCTGAAAAAACATTAAAACTTACAGTACATGTGGAAAACTATTGTGTGTATATATACTGTATCTGTTAAGCCAAGTAAAACCACGTACGAAATAGTAGACAAACTGGAAAATGCAAGCTAACATGTGGGTAAAATATAGGGCTACATAGTGACACAATAATACAAGAGACAAAGAAACCAGTCCAGAGGACTAGGAACCATTTGGATGAAGCATACAAATGAAACTTTCTTAGCAGTTGATAATTTTGGCATTTATATTTATTACACTATCCATGCAAACGCATACACTTATCCTGGTTTAAGTATACAACAAGGGTTTTAATATTAATAACATATACATTACTACAAAAGTTACTCTCTCATTGAGCATACATTATTAAACTCTAGGTGAGTAACGCAGTGTGATACTATTTGCTTCCAACTTAATTGGGCAGGCACGGACGAATGTATAAAGTATTAACACATTTGTGAATGGATAAACGGTCTTATAAACTTAAGATATGTGCACATGCACTGTCGCAGTGGTGAGCAAACTGTGCTATGAACCCGGAAACCTGAGTTCAATTCTCAGCCGTGGCGAACACCAGTGGAGAGTGGTACCTGGACCAGTCCTGGGCCACGCCTTCTTCATCCCCCGCACTGACCAGCACTGCCAGGCCGCCACAGTGACGAGATGTTTACTACCTCGCCTGGTATGCAGGAGGTCGTCATGTTCGATCCCAACCCTGACGCACGGTATATTTGGAGTTTGCATGTTCTCTCCGTTCATCATGGGGCCTCCTTTGCCAGTACCAAAATATGAGAATAGGTTTTCCCCTTTTTTTCTGGCAGCAAAGCAGGTGTTGAGATGTTAAAACACCAAACTGAAACCTTTTACAAGGAATCGTGTCTGCATTAACCACAGTACTTGTGGTCAGATTGCAAACAAAAAACATACTCTGATAATATATCCATTGTCTTTGAAACTGATTGGTCCACACCAGAGAGAGCTTTCTTTTGAGCCTAGTCTCCTCTGGTCTAAATATAAATACGTGCAAAATAATTCCATTCGTTATATAAGTCAGATTTACTAAGCAAGGCAGCAAAACAACAACAACAAAACAGTCCCACGCCACACCAAGACAACACAGTAGGAGTGCCTCAATAACATGGCGCGTGAACATTGACCTATCGATGCACAGGCAAGGAATTAAAGTTACAAATCACATTGGCAAATGTGACTGTATCCAGCGCTACGAATCTTCTGCTTCAGGATCAGAAAACAAACTACGCGCCTTTATTGAGATCACCTTTGTTTTAAAATGGGCTCGGGCAGGACACGTCACCAGCCGGGGTGTTTTGAGACTAGCGACAGAATGACAGCCAAAGGAGGAACACGCACAACAGAGGGTTGAGCAGCGCTGGTTCGACGGCGTGACTCGATCAGCTCATCACCTCTGATCAGCACAGTTTGGCTACGTACGGTGCGAAAGAAGCTCGACACTACGTGGAGCTCGTGTGGAGGAGCTGGATGGATTGCTGCATTGCGAAACCATTAGGTGTGGCGATTACATGGGAAGGCTTTTAATCCAGCAATGCATATAGATCACTGGTGATGATGCTTATTGATTAAATACGTGTGAATCCATACTCTTGAATGTCGTTACGTCCCATCTCCTTTGTGAAAGAACAGCGTGGGTTGTGTGATGGCAACGAGGGGAAAGGCGGCAGATCTATTTTTTTATTCCCACATAGTTAAAATAGCAATGAGAATGCACTCACCATTCTCCCTTATCTGCATCTTCCATCTGTTACCACCAACCACAACCACCCCCTGCCACATACCTCTGCCACATATGTGTCGTCTCCACCGAACGAGATATCTTTTCGCATACCATTTGAAAATCTTTCAGCATGTCACTAACAACCACAATCGCAAGCCAAATCCTTAAGTGTATGCACTCCTCTGCCACCTTTAATTGGTGGCTGCGAATATGCCCACGAAACAGGTTCCCACAAGAAAGAACCGTAACCCTGTACTTATCAACTTTAGCAATAAACTCATTGATAAGTCACTGGCCACGCCAACAACACAAGCCGCGCGCACACACACACATCTTCAGCAGACAGCACCGATGGTTGAATTATTATTTTACACATCGCATAATGAATACACATATATCTTACTTCTCTTTAGCTTTTTAGTGGGGAAAAACGTTCAAATGGAATGTGGAATAGCAGCCCAGGGCTCAGGGTTGGCAAACAGTTGAGCCTCACCCCATTTTTTATGGCGAGTGGAGATACTTTTAACTTCTCATCGTTTGAATCGGGGAAATACGGCTAGAAAAACAGGGTCACGGCTTAAAATGTTTTATATTTAAGCGGGAGCACTGCCCTGCAAAATAGCGTAAGATTATCTTTTCAGATATGATTAGGCATAGTGTTTTAAAATATTCTGTTAAAACACAAAAGTTCAGAATCGGTGCACAGAAATAGTAACGCGCACAAATAGGCACCCACATTCACGTCGAAGGTAATTATGGGGAACGCAGCGTCCAGATAAATATATATACGTTAACGTTTGCCATTTAAGACTCACTGATGCCACCAGCTTAATTACATTGCGTAATAAAATTAGCGATGATTAATTCGGTTGCCAACATCCTAATTAACACAGTCATCCCATATAGCACTATGATGCTGAGCAATTTTCCATGACACACATGATACTAATATACTCCCTGTACATTTCCTCTATTAGTCACGATGGACAGAAGAAATTTGTCACAAATCACAACTGTCGCAGTGCATGCGTGCGTGCTTTTTTTCTTATTTTGCAGATTGCAAAGTCTAAAAACACTTTCACATACACATCAAGCACTTTAAAATCATTACTCCATGTGAATGAAGCAATACGAGTTGCTCATTATGTATCTTACGGCAATATAGCTTTAAATGTACGTGTGTTTTTTTTTTCAAGGGAACCGTATAATCAAACGCACTGGCATTAAAAGTGCAATATCTCCACACAGAAGGCATGGCGAGAGATATTGAACACGTCAATCAGAACACCCAACACGTATCACCAAAACTCCTTGACTTGCTGACGCGATGACCTAAATGTTAGTTCACTCGCACGAAAAGCTCACGGCGGTGTTCGTTTCGTTTGAGACGGCTCTTAATTGCTCATCTCCATCTTTTCATGCCCGCGTTCTCGGTCTACGTTCAACATACACACACACACATATATTCCCCGCTGCTTTGCAACAACAATCATTCGGACTCCCACTTATTCTGCTGCTGGAATTTGCACTGCTGTCTGCAACTGGTATGCTTGGAGATAAACAGATACGGGTTATACAGTTTTATAGTACCAGCATGCTGTATTTTGCCCAAGGCTTTCTTTGACCAGGCTCACCTTAAACCTGTTCATTGTCAGCAGTCACTTTAAGTACACATGCACACCCATGGCAATTATTGTTTTCAATAAATACTGTGCAGAGAAAACCACGAGACATTTAATATTGTATAAGTACCCATCGCATATACAGTATACACACACCCTAGATATATATTTTAAATGTATTCAACATTTCAATGATTACATTCCCGATGATTATTGGTCAACAGGATAGCTCAATGCGTTCCTAGTTTTCCATCTCCTATCTCTCTCCACCACTCCACAGTCTTTACGTCTCTTGTACAAGGTATTTACAATGCCACCTCTTCCTTGCCCTGTCTCTCAGTCGTTTCACTCTTTCTCTCTGTCCCCAACTCAAAAAGCCACCTTGCCAATTGGGTTTCTCCATCTGTGTGATGTGACCACACCAATTTATCCTCGCCTGTTCTCGCCTTTTCTAACAGTACCCATTACTCTGCCTTGTCTCTCTGATCTTGCTGTGTGTCCGACTCTCATTTATTTCAACCAGAGATTATTTATACTTAATTACGACTCCTTAATGGCTAAGTATGGTGGTACGATAACTGTAGCCCAGTGACTTGGAGCTAGGTTTAGTGGATCATGCAAATACGGAGTCATGTTTATGAAACACCAACATGCAGAACAGGTGTTCTATGAAAAGTAAGATTAAATTTGACAAAGAAACTCATAAAATGAATAGCCAGTTCTCAAGCCTTTGGGACATATCTTTAAAAGTCACTTAACGTATCAACTGAAATTCAGTTTTCTCTTCAGTAAAATAGTTTTGCACTGTAACCATTTTAGTACCCTGTGCATAACTATTCAACCCTTAACATTTGACAGTTTTAGTTTGCAAGGTGCGGTCAAAACATTTTGAGATTAAGATAGGCTCTGGCCTGCCTGGAGAATGAAACATCTGAATTACCGACAAAGCAGTATTCAAAACATTTTAGTTTCATACAATATACTGTCAAGTAGAACCCGATTAATTCATGGATCCAATATTTTATGTTTCGTGCATAATCATGAGGTTGTAAAAATAGATCGAGCATGCCGTTGCTGATACTTTAGATTTTCAAACCTTTTTTTACGTGACTCGCGTGGGTATAGAACACAGTGCAGTTGTGGTTATCAACTATGAGGGGTGTAATGATGTTATAGATTCATG